CTCAATATAAAGTATTACAGATTCTTTGTAAAAGTATTTTTAAGGTAATTATGTAATATAGTATAAAAGAAAAACAACAGAAACTTGAGAAACCAGGTAATGATGTTGTCCTCTACAATACAGAGTTCCCACATCTTCTCTCAGCAAACCACCTTCATTGTAACCATCTGAATGTGGACCCAGGAAAGCCTCAGAGGCCAACCCATATATTAATTCAAAAGCTCAATTCTTCCCCCTTTTTAGAGCACAAAATAAACAAATAAAAGTTTTAGTATTTTTATTCTCAACATCTCAACCGACTTTCCTCAACTCACTCTGTAAACTACTGATCTCGTGCAGGGGCATGGGCTGAAGGTATAACAGTTGTAACTTATAGAATAATGATGCTACGTTACACAGAGAAGAACTCAATGAATGCTCACTGAACTGAATCAGTATTATTCAAATGATAGCTCTAAGTCACCAAAAATATTAAATTATGTGTAACATATTACACTTAAGTAACAGGACAGTAATCCAAATTGTTAGATTGGGATATTTCTAAAAACAACCTGCATGTATTCAGAAAATTTACTGATTCAGAATGACTTACTGCCCAGGGATTCCAGTTACCACGAATTCTATGGTTACTTCCAGTTTCCTCCCCCAGAATGAAAGGCATTCTTAAGGACTATATGTAAAAAGTATAAACTTCATCTCCTAAAATACATTTATTGTTCCATGTTATAAAAACTAGTAGAGCCATCAATACTTAACCACTAATTTAAAACAACTCCAAAGCTTAAATGTATTTTTCATACTCAAAGTGGTAATAGAAGCAGACATCATACACTTTGTATTTAACACCATTTAGTAGTAGTAGTGGGAGCAGTATTTACTTTTTCCATAAGTAACAAAGAGAGTAATACTTCATGAGTCAAGAAAATCACTCAACAATTTTTAAATGTTTGTTCTGTTTTAGAAATTATGGAAGATACAATAAATATAAAACACATACCCCATATAAATTTGACATTGTTTAAGAACAATCTCAAATACATTGACAGAAAATGGTTCACAGGATGTTAAGATCACTGTGGGGCAGAATGAATTAAAAACCATTTTCACAACAGAGAAACACGAGCTGGAGTTGGATTTAGCTCTAGAAAGGAAAAGTCATTCAAAGCTGAAGGAAATGATTTGTCATTTGTTTTCTTAATAAAAATTTCTAAATCAAGAACACCAAGTATAAGATATACTCAAGTAAAACAGTTTGAGGAACATTCCAAAATAGATATATTATTTCTTAAGCTATTCATCAAGTCACACATTTATGTAAATGGTACTTATCTACCTTTTAGCTCCATAAAGCCTTCCAACTTAACACTTGAAACAAGAAAAGAAAAACTGAAAGGACCTGTAAGTTAAGAGAAAATTTGGGCATTAAATCTCAATATACTTTTTTCAAAGTTGAAAATTTTCTATTCTCTGGACCTTTTTTAGCATGGCATTTTCCCCTAGTATACTTTACATCTGTCATTTTTCTTAACTTGGAAAAAAAAGTTCCCTTTAAAAGGAAATTCATCTTAGTTATTTCTCATCCACCAGAGGGCTCCAATATTTCTTCCACAAATGGAAGAGATAACATTACAATAAAAATATTCATTAAGCACTGAAAAAACTCAAATTATCATTATCTCATTTAACTCCACTTTAAAAATTGTATCTGCTACAATTTCTACATTAGTAAAAAGATACAGGGTTTTTCTTTAACTGTTTTATCATCAAAAGTGTTTCAAATGCCAAAATTGCTTTGCCATTATTCTCACACTAATTGCCAATTTCTCTCTTCCGTAGGGTTTTCATTTTGTAGATATCATAAAGTATAATTTTAGTCCAAAGCTCTAAATAGGATCTCAGATGTTTTGTGTAATACTTTTATAAATATAGTAATTTATTTCTTAATAACTTTCCCATTCCAGAAAACAAAATTACTACCTTATTTATTAACCAGCCTTAGGCCTCATTACTTACAGAAAGAGTAAACATTTTCTTTCTAAAAACCTATAGCTTTAACATAATTCATGCTTCAGTTATAAACAATGAATATTGTCCCAAGATGAACTATGATTTGGACCAAGAAAGAAAATAAAGGAAATGAATTATTTAAATACAAATAATATAATGATATCCTGTTCAGATATTTTGAGATTTTTTTTCACAAATAAGTGATTACACTAGAATGTTAGTAAGTCCTATTTCAAACTCAATCACTCTTTACAAAAGAAAAGCCGATATTTAATGTAAATACATTTATATTATTTACAGGACATATTCAAATTATTTTTAAGAGTACAGCAAATCCATTCAGTAGGCTGCCACTCCCCCTCCAAAAAGACTGATTTGCTAAATTTGGACTACTGAAATAAAGAGTCTTTATGGTAAACACAAAAATGTATTGAATGTTTTAAAATAAATTTTAAATGAGTTATATTTACAAAGCAAAGTAAGATTCTAAGAAATCAATTTCACAGTGAGTCACAATCATTGCCATAAGAAGATTTTACCAAAAACATCAATTGATTTAGCAATTACACAGCTCAAGAATGAATTATCTCTAATGAAAACATGATAGGAATAATAACTTCATTGCCCCACCTCATCTCCCAAATAGGATTTTCCAGACAACTGACACGCACCATTAAAACATTAAAAAAGCATAACATTTGTTTCTAAACAGCACATACTAGCAGTCACCACTAGAGACTAGAAATTTTTACTGCAACTAGTAAAAATGTATGTATTCATACTTGCAAGAGTATGTATCCTGATCAATTCAGTTATGTTGCAAGGGAGATGTCAGATTGTGGAAAGAGGTGGAGGTGGGGAGGCTGAGACTGTTCAAGATTCAGAATGATAAAATAGTTCTCACTTGAATGTAAACACAAACAAATATGATACATTAAATCAACAACTTCTGACCCATATTTGCCTTGCTCTATTTCAGAAAGTTGAAAATTCTAGACACATATCAAATGAAGGCACTTTTTAAGCAAAAATGCAATGTAAGTAACAGCAAATGAAGGTTTAAAAATCTTCAACATTGGGGGGAAAACCTCATAACCTCTAACAAGTTGAACAGCAAGAAAACGAGACATAAAAAATACTCAGAACAATCTAACCCGAGCTGTACTTCAGACACACTCTGAAATAGCATCATCAGGGCATTATATGTTTATTACATAATACTGCTTTGCCCTTGCATATCACCTTTAATCAAACGATCTCAAAGCACCACATCATAGAGGCCTTAAAATACAGTCTAAAACAGAAATAGTTGTATTTTGTAATTGCAGCTATTAATAAAACTTTGCCCTTACTTCCTGGTCCCAACATTCCAACATTTGCTTCCAAACCTTCTGACTTGCCAGTATTCCCCACATAATTTCAATTTGTAACTGATGCTACGCACATACCAGCTTTTCTTCATCATAGGGCCTAAAGAAAGTAGTCACACTGTTTTAACGACACAAATCCATTCCATTCCAACTTCTGTGCCAGAATAAATAGTACTTAGAGTGAACATATCTTGCAGTGTGCATGATGATATAAAATGGAGGCTTTATGGAGAGCAAATCTTTGCTGGAGGTGATGAACCACAGATCACTCATCAAGCAGGGGAAATAGCATTTTCCAGCTCAATCCAGAAACCTCTCCAGGCAACCTCCAGAGGAAACCAAGTCCAGCTATCCTTAAGAGGGCTGGAGACGATTCTCAACTGTGCACACCAGGATGGAAGGGAAAACTAAAAGAACAATGCACGAGTTTTAAGAGTCAGGAAGGAGAGTCTAAGTAAGGTTGCTGAGTGTGGTTCCTTTGCGTTTAAATAGTACAATAATTGGGAAATCAAACACAAGCAAAATGTTTTTAAACCAAGGTCAAAAAAATGCCGCAGTCATTTTTTTTAATCTGTAAATGAGGTTCACTTGTACAGACACATCTGACATTTTAAAATTTAATTATCATCAAAGTTTAATTTTATTTTTTCGCTGTAATTCACGAATACTCAGGTGTTAATGTAAGCATAAGTATGTCAACTTCAGTTCTTTCATAAGCACGATTATCAGTCTCCTCGTTAATCACATTTTGTTTGTCCCTAGGACTGCAAAGTGTAATTTCAACTCACACAAACCCACCTCCCATTTCTGTTAGCCTACATGGTTACTGTTAGTCAACAGATTCCACAATGCCGACCTTTAATAAACAAAAAGAAAAGCGTCAATAAACAAGAGTACTTTTTGTTTCAAGTTCTCAACATTCAAGGGTCAAGCCTCAGTAATGTGTTTTATTAGCTTTTAAAAGTCCAATGATGTAATACTACTAAATATTTGGTACTGAAAGTCCTGGAAGAGTCAAAAAAAAAGTATTAATCTATGGCTAGCCTAGATCTGTGAAAATTCCAAAACATCTTAATATTTCTGGTGCCATACTTGCTCACCCAGACATTTCAAAAAGCTCACCGCAAATTCTAGCAGTCTTTCTTGAAAGAAAAATCTACGTCGCTGTTCTTGAAAATATCATTTGTACTTACCGCATTATGGATCTCCTCAGTGTCACAGAGCAAAATTCCCGATTTCCTGCCTACCTCTTGTTATCTAGTAGGGACACCCGTCCTCAGCTCTGCCCACTGTCACTGACGTTTTCAGAAGCCTGAAGATCCAAGTGTTCAGAGACTTCTAGCAAAGAGAGATTTTCTCCACTTCAAGCTACCTTGCTACATGTCCCCTTACTTCTCCACTGTCTTTAATGATTTGGAAAACACAACCAAATGCGCGAACCCATATTAAAAGCAGTACTTCCTAACGGGGGAAACCAGAGCCCCCAACTTCTCCAAATCTCCCAGCCCAGTGGCTTTTCAACAGTCCCCCGCAAACCTTCACCCCACGCCTGCATCCTTTCTGATTAAATACGATTGGAAACCACAAGTAAATCAAAGGGTGTCGTAACTTATCTTCACTTACCATATCCGCCGGGACACTACTGGACATCTTGCCGTTTGATATACACCCAGATGTTTACGTGGAAAAAAAAAAAATACACCAACCAACCAAAAAAAAAAGAGCAGAAGTCTTCAAGCTACAGAAATCAACCTGAACGATCTGGATTGGTTTGCGATCTGCTTTCCAAATAAAAAAAATAGTAAGTTATTTCGGAGTCCAAGTGCCAGCCTGGCCGAGGTTCTGGGCGAAGAGGAACAATCCCCAGGAGCCGCGCGGCCGCAGCGGGAGGGAACTCGCGGGCTGGCAGCGGCCGTCGCCGTCGTCGTCAGCAGCAGCCCCAGGACCGGCCGCGCCGGGTGGACCGAGCCGAGTGACACACGGACATGGAGGGGTGGGGGGGGTTAAATCCGCCGGCCTCCTTTCCCGGCCCCGCGCTGATTCACACTTGCTCCCGAGTCAGGTCCGCATTAAGCAGGAGGAAAATGCCCGGGTGGGGATGTACACAGATAACTATGCAGCTACACATGGACGCGTGAGCGGTGAGTGGCGGCCGCGCGGCGGCCGGCGCAGGGAAACGGCTCACCTCGCGCCGCCGGGGCTGAGCGCCGGGCCGCGGAAACCCGCGCGCCCAAGGGCATCGAACTACTCGGGAGCCACAGCGAGAGCCCGGCGAGGCGAGCGGACGGCGCGGCGAGCTCGGGCCGCGCCGGAGACCCCCCACGGCCCCTCGGGGCTCAGGCCGCCAGCGCCGCCGGGCAGCAGCGGGTCTCGGGGCGCATCATCTCCGGCTTCGCGGCGCTCCTCCGATGCCTCCGCCTTCCACTCCCCTCCGACGCGGACTTCGCTGCTCCCCGGAAGAGGCTGGGTCCTCCCTCTCCTCAGCCCGGGAAGGGTTTCCTCTCAGAGCGTTGTCTCTCCTCCTCCGCCGCCACTTTTCAGTCCCCAAAGCTGCAGCCGCCTCCTGTCATCACCCCTCAAGCCAACATGGCGGCGGCGGAGGCGGCGGCGCTGGC